AAATGGATACAACTAGAGACCATATTCATTAGTGAAATAAATCAGACCTGCATGTATGAACATCATATTGTCTCCTTAGTGGAAGAACCTGAAAGAATATATAAAATCTGAAAGGTACAATAGATACTGTTAAAAGGAAAGAAACTGTTCAGAGGGAAGGAACAACTGGGATGGGTTGTTTCTGGGATGAGAAAAAGGAGAAAAGAGGGAAGGAATGGGAAATTATATATGTATATACACAGGATAGCTTGGATAATTATATTACTGATTTCTACTGGTCTATTGAAAGGAACAGTTAATGCTTAAATTACTTTTCTCTTTTTTTGACCAATTTTGCATGCTTATATCTGGCAATCTGAACAACTAATTTTAAGACAACAATATTTAATATAACAACCATTGTTGAATTCCTATTGTTTTGTTTAGTGAAATTCTGTATCATTTTTATGGGTTTTTTTTCTATTTTTGTTCTCTTTTTAAAAATAAGAAAAATAAATGTACCAAAAAATTTTGTTTTAAATAGTTTATCCTGCTTTCCAGCATCCTTGCTTTCTGTATTTAAATTTAAGCTTTTAATTGATAAAAAATAATTGTATATATTTATCAGGTGTGATATATTTTTGTTAAATGCATGAAATATGAAATTATTAAATACGGTTGTTAGCATACATTAGAAAATTATTAGTTCTAGGAGTGGGAGTGAAGGACAGGCATTTTGTATGAAAACTTCTTTTGTTTTTTATAACCTGCCAAATCTTCCTACTTCCATTCCTTTAATCCATGAAGCTCAATAAAACTAAGTGCAGGGGCCCGGAAGATGGCTCAGTGGAATAAGTGCTTCCCTGGCAAGCGCAAGGGCATGAATTCAAACCCCGGTTCCACCAAAAAATAAATAAACTAAATTTTTAAAAAACTAAGTGCAGTAAACTCTTTAAAAATTTACCTTTAGTCTCATTAATTGATAACCTCTATGTGTGTAAAGTCTATATGCTGAATATTCTATTCAGGTGCTTAAAAGAGAAATTATAAAGGTGACACAGGTGGTCTTTGAAGAAACTGTATTTGTTATCAGAAACTGAATTTCTGTTTAAGTGTTTGAAATTTTGTTTATTTATTTTGAAATTCAGAGTATTTGAAGTATCTGTGTAGAAGTCAGTAAATGGCTAGGAAGTAAATGAGAATTGGATGTTTCTTCTCTTACTCTGCTCTGGTTGGATTGTGAGCTTTCCTATGGTTGTTCTTCCTTGCTATTGTAAGGTGACAGTACAGTATGATTTTTCCTTGTATCTCAGATATCTCAATATTAGCTGCCAGAATAATAAACTTGTAATCCTAAAAATTTAAGGAACAATGTGAAATTCAAATATATGACATATAAATGGATATCTATGTCTCTGAGGTAGTCACTTTGTTTTTTAAATTGATTACTGTTTATTATACAAAGAAAGTTTTTTTAACCTCAAAAGATAATGTCAGAAAAAAAAAAAAAAAAAAAGATAATGTCAGAGGGCCAGCCAAATAGCTCAGTGGATTAAAACACCTGCTTAGGCAGCTGCAGTGGTGCCAGCCCCGCCTACGGGGTACACTGAGAAGGCACCTGAGACTGGGCATGGTGATGCATGCCTGTAAGCCCAGCTCTTTGGGAGGCTGAACACTGGCAGATCACTAAAAGTCCGATCTACATAAAGAGACCCTGTAGACCCTGTAGACCCTTAGTAAAATACAAAAAAAAAAAAAAAAAAGATAATGTCAGATTCTGAAACTAGAATCTACATCAAGTGGCATAACAGTTTGGTCCATAGACTATTTTACATTTCAGTTTGGTTGTTTTTGTGAAATATAAGGCTCCATGGACATTCTAGATTTTTGTCATCTAGCAAAGCTATTATGTTTTTGACATTATTTAAAAGGAAAAGTTACAAAACATAGCTTCTTATTCAATAATAATAATTTGCATATTTTAGTTTCATATCATGGGAGATATTGTTAAAGAATACTCATGTTTGATTTTGTAGGATGAATTATTTACCCTAATCACTTTTGTCTTTGTTGAAATAATCCCATTGGTATGCTTTTCTAGATGTATCTTCCTGTGAAGTATTCATTTATTAGTTGTTTATCATCTACAATTTCCTAAAATGATTATTTCTGCAAAGTTAATACTTTAAAAATATTTAAAATTTGTTTTGTGACTCTTTGCACTCTTTCACTTTTTGATATAAAAAAGTTCATTTTCAATAATTGCCTGAGCGCACCTAGACATATCATCTACTTGTTCTTTCATTTAAAAGGAAGATTCTCAAGAGTGACCTCATAGCCATCATAGTTGTTAGTGGTATATGTCAAGAATATTTCCTGCAGAGTTCTTTTTAGTCAAGGTAGGGCAAATAGAACCACAGTTTTGTTTTGTTTTGTTTTTACATAAAAGGGAGAATGGGCAAAACCCACGCTTTTATTCAGAGGCTCAAGAAGACTGTAATACATACATAACTCTAGAATAGTACAGAGATGGAGCTTGTTTGAAACTTGTTAAATTTAAGAACACTTTACTTTCATTGTCGAGTGAAGTGAAATCTAGAGATGAGAAGGACAGAATGATAATAGTGAAAATAGGAAAAGAGCGGGAAGTAAAGGTTAAAAGGAGATGCTACAAGAGAAGCTAAAGGAGCAGAGAAATATGTAAGGCCTGTTACTCATTGCTTCATTCAGCAATTATTTTCTGCTAGTATACTAAGTCCTTGGTATAAGTAGAGAATCAAACAAGTCCTGTGCTTTTCTAATGAATAAGACTGTCATTCATCCTTTGGACTAGTGGAAAAGAGAATGAGACAAAAGATTAGTTAGACTGGAAAGAAAAGCTGGGCAAAGAAGCATGTGTGGTGGGCTATAAAGGCTGAATACCTAAGGATAAGAAAGATGGAAAATGAACTTTCACTTTTTTCTTTTCATGGCCCAGAACTCCATCCATGCCCTCCTTCTCCACAGCCATAACTAGATTAGTTTCTTAGATCCTGCCTCACCCTTCTCTGTATAATTATCCTCTAGGGATACTGAGGACCATACCCTATTGGTCATCCATCTATTTGAAAACTATTTGTTAGTGTCTTCTATATACCGAGCATTGTGATATATATGGAAATGCAATAATAAATGAGATACTATCTCCACTTATCTGAGTATCTTATAATCTATTTGTGTAAAGTGGCAAGTAAGGAGTAAATAATAACCTGATTTGATAAAGACTGTTAAAAGGATAAGTGAAAGCCATAGGGATAAGAAAAATGTCCCAGAGTAAGAGGACACCAAATGGACATTTCCTTTCATAGTTCTTCCTTTTTAAAAAATGTCATCTGAATGAGTCTGTCAGAAAGCTTCTAATATGCTTCATAGTTTGTAAAAAATAATTTAGGCTTGATTCAAAATTAGTAAATTAAATATTCAATGTGGTTTTTCTTTAGTGTATTACTTTAGATGAAATTCTGATTATGTTTTAAAATGTGTTAAAATCCACGTCCCCTCCTGTATTCATACCCATTTAAAAATACAATTTAAGGAAACCTACAAAATCTTTCGCTATGGACTTTTATCACCCACTATATACATAAGTCCATACAAATATATTGATACAGTTTAATGCAAAACAGATGCCCATAAAGCAGTTTAACTGGTATTTATTTAAAATATGTGTATATATACCAACTTATTTCCCCCTCTCAAGCTGCAGTTTTATCAGAGTTTTGGAGGAAAAATGCCAACTCATGATAAGTTGCACCAGATTTCATATAAGAGTTATTTGGAACAGTGAAAGACTCTCAAAGGACTGAACACTTTTTCACACTTTGTATTCTTTCATATAAACCTGATTTAGAGAACTCTCTTGTCACTGCTTTTTCCTGTGCAGAACATTTCTAACAAGTCAGCATCCATTTGTAGTCACTGGTTCATCTCAAGTCTTTAGTGGCCCCTTCTACTTGCTTTTAGATAGGCTTTGCTATTTTTCATCCTATATTTTCATCCTCCAGCTCTAACTACTCCCCTGAACTCCATTTGCTCATTCTCAGTCTCAGCTTGGATGTCAGATAATGTTTCAAATTTAACATAACTGAAAGAGAACCATTGGACTCTCTGCTAACTCTCATGAACAAAGTCTCTTCCTTTACAATCCTCCCTTCTTAATAAACAACAAGTGTAATCTACTTTTTCATGCTAAAAATCTCAAGCATTATCTTGACTCATTTTATTCTCTATAAAGTCCTCCATTAAGTCCTGTTAGCAGTGTTACCAACTTCTTTGCATTTCTGATGCTACCAAGATCATGCTAGCCACTGTCATCTTTCTCTTGGGCCGTCATGGTGATAGGACCTAGATTTTCTCATTCTAAGTCCAGTGCTCTTTCCATGGTGGTGTGCAGCCCCTCATACATTCATCTTACTGCAGGAAGGTTTTTTACATTCCTTGAAGGGAGTAATTATCTTTTTTGTTTGCTATATATATCCCAAAGGGTACAGGGCTGTGCCATAAAACCAATGAGGGGCTCCATGTATCTAGTGAATGCCACAGTTTGACCAAACTACTTGGGTTTACTGTGGTCCATGATCAGTTTGGGTCATGAACTCACTCAGACTCATCATATTACAATGGTTTTTGGAAACGGGCAACTTGAATGAGTTAAGTTTTCAACAATTAGCTTATTTGTATTCTAAATGCTGAACATTTCATGTAACTGTAACTTTGGGGATGAGAGTGATTAGGCTGTAACTAATAGCTGCTGTGCTAGTTTAAGCCTCATAATGTTAGTATTTCTATACTGAAACACCTGGTATCCTGAAGTGGGGAGTGCCCCAGAGAATGTCTTAGCAAATCACAGAGCATCCATATTTAGCTTCGCTTTTACCATGCAAGAACAGGAAGGCCCTGCCATTTTTTTTCAAAGTTTTTATTCTCTTGCCTATGAAATTTCCTAAATGACTCTAGTAATCCTGATTGTCTCCTTGTTTTCACAGGTGATCTGCAATGCTTTCACCATCTGCAATGCAGAGATGCAGGAAGTTGGTGTTGGCCTGTACCCCAGGTATGGCAGACAGTATTTCATTGCATGAAAGACATGACCTTAAGTCCCACCCAGCTCCCAGCCTTTTGGAGGTAGTTAGAATAACTGTTGCAACCAATGGCTCACGAGCCAAGCTGGAAACTTAAAGATGAATTACAAGAAGATGTAAAAATGTTAAGTTTTATAACTGCAGTTTATGTGCTGTGCTATTAGTGAAGAGGCAGGGCTCAGAGCTAAATTTTTGTTCTTAGGGGTTTTAGGGTAGGAAGCTGGGGATTGTGGGTACCAATTAATTGTTATGCTGAGATTTGGTTATCCCCCACACCATCCCTGATCATATTGCCCTACCTCCTGTGCTGAAACACATGTGAATTTCATTAGCTGTACTATCTCATAGCCCTGGATCAGTTTTGTCACTTGCTTTAGCATACTCTGAGCCCTGTAACTCCAGGAGACAAGAGAACTTTCAAGACTGGCTATCTGCACTGCTTCAGCTGTCACCATGATCAGCTTTGTCCCTGAGCTACTACACTGCCCTTCCACAAGCACTAGTCATTTCTACTTTCATTTTGTGTTTATATCATTTGGGTTCAAGTATAAATATATTCTTTTTTACAATTAACCATGAATCTGAGAATTTGGCTTCTTTTCTTTCCAACAGGTGCCATTAGCTACAAGTCAGGTCTATTGCTATTGGTTCTCAAAAGCCTGTAGCAGAATGGCTCAGAGCATGGGCTCTGGGTCCAGGCCACCTGGTTCAGATTCAGTTACCACTTACTAGGGTGTATATGTGGATAAATCATTTAACCTTTGTGTATCCATCTCTTCATCTTTTCACAAATGATCTTTGTGAAATCATTGTATGTGTGCTGCTGAAACGAGCACTGTAAAGTCATTATCATGACTGCATTAGACAAACAAGTTCAAGCATTAAGAAAGTGCTTTCTATATAGTAAATGGTCATTCTACTTGTTATCAATTTATGGTGGAAGTTGAAATACATTCCATCTCTCAGATGTTAAAGACTGCACTTCCAGGGTAATAAAATGATGGTGCTCTGCCCCAAAGTGCATGAACATCTAGTTAGGAAGATGAGCTCAGCTTCCCTCAGAAGAGGAAGTCCTGCTCATTATTATGCTGTAGCAGAGGCACAAAATGAGATCCTTTGTGGGAAAGGTCAGTGGCATCTTGGCTGTAGTGATTGCTGGTGCATCCTATTATCTCAAAGATGATTTCTTTGCAAATCATTTTTTCCTCCCATCTTCATGTTGGATTACCTTTCTGACTGATATCTGAGATATCTGCACTCCAACCCAAAAAAGGGCCTCAAAAAATATTTCTATGAGCAAACTTCCCCAGTTAGTCTCCATGTTAGGGAACATTTTATTTCCTATGAAGTAGGATCATGATTTCTGGGAATGCTCCCAGAGTACTCAGGCTGTGGGGCCTTTTCAACCTCATCTATTTCTTCCCACTTAACATCCCGAACCCAAAGCATCTTTTACATTGAATTCACCAGATGTAGCTGTTTTACTTGATCTGCTCATCCATGATGTCTTCCTCTGTTTTTTTCAGTATGTCCTTGCTAAACCACAGCTGTGATCCCAACTGCTCCATTGTGTTCAATGGGCCCCACCTCCTACTACGTGCTGTCCGAGACATTGAGGTGGGAGAGGAGGTAAGGAAACATGTTTGCCCCCCTCTGACCTCCTCCCTCCCAACGACTCTGTGTGGCGGTTCCTACAACCATTTGTACTTAAGGGACTGCTTTTCATTATCCTTCTTTCTGCCAGTGAGAAGATACATAATAGAATCACCTCTGTTCAGCAGCCAGTGGCATCCCGACCTCTGAGTGTGCTAATGTTTTATTTTGTCACCATATTTTTGGATGGTGATAGTTCTAGTGCACAATTGCTATTTATGTAAGAGATATTTGTGTGTGTAACAGAGAGGTGTATATTTTATATATGTGCACAACGGTTGTTAAATCTCAACGGTAACAGCTTAGTGGCCTGTCACATCCCTGAAAATGGTCATTCTTCCATGACATGGAGAGCAAGCTGCTTGTGAATAGATTTTTAAGAGCTTATTCACTCCAAAGCCCACTAATTGTATTTTGAAATTTTTAGATCTCTGTGTAAAAAGCAAACAGGTTTTATTATTTCAGGCTGTTATTGCACCTTTACAAATCCATCTGCATCTCTGTGTGATCACTTAAGCAAATGTACAGAAAAGGAATAGAAGCCTCTGAGCATGACCTCCAGCAGTGAATTGGCCTTGACTCTCAGTTTGTAGCCAAGCCCTGTTGTTTTGGTGAGGAATCTGCAGAGCAGCCTAAGGTCTCATAAGGCAGTCAGGGCCTCTGGAGGACTGTGAACTCAAGTCTGCATGGAGCTTTCTCAGTTACCATTTGTGCTGAGTTCTGGGTTACAAATATTTATGCTTTCTAGAACCCAGTTTCCTTCTACCATTCAATTTGCTAAAGTGGATATTTATTGCAAGGAAAACAGAGGATCATAAGCTTTTATTGCATTTATCCAGCACTCAAGCCAATAAAATCTGAACTCCGAGGTATCATATTTTATGGAGATGGAGATTTGACTTTGACAAGATCCACCCCCAGACTGATGCCAACTAAATAAGACACTACTTACACTGCAACTTTTGTTGAATTCCCTGTTTGTAGGACTAGAGTATATGTATTTATCAGTAATATGAAGAATTTAGATTTATTTTCTTCCTGGAGCAATATATGACTACAAAGCAGGTAAGAAAGGGAACTACTATCTGTTTTGAGCAATATCAGTTTAGAAGCCAAAGAGTAGCTGCTATCATTGTTAATGATGATGTTATAGTAAATATACAAAACAAAACAAGGGCTAAGAATGTAGCTCATTGGTAGAGTGCTTACCTAGTGTGCACAAAACCCTAATTTCCATCTCCACCACTACAAAAGGGAAAGAAAGAAACTTGAGAAACAAACAGGAAAGCTCTTAGAATTTTCAGAAACAACACTTTTTCTCATATCTTATTTTTTTTCAAAGTTTTATTGATAAACAGATAGCAATGAGACAGTTTCAAATCCAATCGGAAGTACAGTTTCAACAA